GAGAAGAAAGTGTTGACGGGCAAGACCACACTGAGCCGCACTGGCACGCAGCGCCTAACAGGGAGCCTAGGAAAAGCATTAGCTTTCGCGCGTATGTTAACGGAGTATGCCTGTCCTAACATTATTGCTCCGTTCTTTACAGAAGACAGTCTGAGAGTGGGGCGGCCACTCGCCGAAGGAAACCGAGATTGGGAAGATGGAAGGGCAACCCCGGCCTCCGGAGAAACCCACGCTCAGGCCCTGATTCCCCTGAGTCACACGGGCCCCGCGCCCCGCCATCCACCCTTCCCTCGGATCCTCTGGATCAGACAACGACCCAGATCCGACCCCGGCACTGCACTCCCATTCTGTCCTGAACCCCACCTCGAGCATGGCCGCACCTGCGACAGTTATCAAAAGAGAAACCTCCAACCGGGGGCGCAAAGACCGACACAGCCGCCATCTTCCCAAGAAAGCGCTTCCGGGCCGGGGGGCGGGAGGAAACAAAATGTTCTGAGCACTTCCGGCGCCGCCGGCGACTGGCTGAAGGGGCGGGGCAAACTCCGCACCGGAGCGATTGAGCTTAGAGTTCTGTGTTCCTAGAGGGGCCCAGAGGCGTTTGGAGTCTATCGCCCCAAGTGACGCGGAGGAGCAACTGACGCCTGGCGCGGGGAAAGGACTGTTCCAAGCGGACGTTCCCGCGACCAGGTCTCCTGCCGCTCGAACCAGACCTGTTTCTACCTTTGATTCGGCTCCGTGGTGCTTTGGAGACAGACACACCGAAGTCCCAGGTACAACCCCACCACTCCCTGGCATTGAGCAAGTCCCTTCAACTCTCTGGATCTGTTTCCTCCGCTGTCAAGTGGAAATTATGCCTCCTGCGTCGAGAGGCGGCTGTGAAACGGCCAGTGCACACCAGAAAAGTCACGGGGGAGCTGCAGTCGAAACCGCCGCGAGGTACAGCTTGGCGCTCACTACGATGGCTGTCGTCGAAAGGAATAAGAGCACGTGTGGGCGAGCGCGTGGAGAAATTAAAACATAGCTGTTGAAATGGAAATGGCACAGCTGCTCCAGGAAACAATTCGGCAGGTCCCCCAAAAGTATCGCCCTCTTCATTTAAGAGTCAGTCACCTGCTATGTGCCAGACATGGTTCTAGGTGCAAACACATGAATGAATGAATGAATGTCGTCCCAAACGCCTAGACCCAATGTCTGTCAAACTATGTGTTCAATTAATATTTGTCAAAGTTAGGACCAGCAGTTAGCATAATGGCTATGTCGCTGGACTCCCATGTAGTTGACTGCGGTTCGAGTCCCGGGCCCTATGGCTTAAACTCACGCCGGGTACTTGTGCATGCGTCCCCAAGATCCCGAGAGGAGAATGGAGGAGAAGGGATTGCGGCATGGCCAGTTATGGGGAGTGCGGCGCGGCTCCTCCCCCCCCCCCCCCCGGGGGGGTGATTTCTCCCTTTCTATCTCTCTGTCTCTGTCTCTGTCTCTGTCTTTCTGGCAAGCGCACATGCCCTATAGCAAAAACCTCTCCAAAAAAACCCATATGTATACATATATATATATTTGTCAAAGTTGAATTCTCTTTCATTATTTCACTAGGTCTTTCATGTGAAATTCATATTTTGAGATCTTACCCCAATCCTCTGTCAGCTTATTTGAAGATAAGATCTTTACAGAAGTAACTGAGTTACAATTAAGTCATCAAGGAGGATCCTAACCCAGCATGACTACTCTCCTTCTAAAAAAAGGACATTTGGGGACAGCTGGTGGCATGGTAGTTGAAGCTACTGGATCCCACACGGCTGACAGCACAGAGTCCCAAAGTTCACGGCTTGAAAAATATGATGCAGACAGGTTTGTGTGCATGTTCAAAATCCTGAGAGAGTGGAGGAGAAGGCATTGTGGCACAGCCATGGTGGACAGTGTGCTTTCTCACTTTTCCTCTCTCTCTCTTTGTCTGTCTCTGGTGAGTGCACATACCCTACAGCAAAAATTTTAAAGGGGGACATTTGGACACAAACACACATGCACATGCCAAGATGAAGGTGGAAATTAGGAGAATGATTCTACAAGCCTCAGAAGCCCACAGGCCACTGTCAAAACACTAAAAGCCAGGGGATGGGCCTGGAACAGATACTCCCTCACAGTCCCTTAGAGGAAGAAACTGCCGACACCAAGATGGGGACTACCGGCCTCCAGAACAGTGAAACAAGAAACTTCTGCCATTTAAGCCCCCAGTGTATGGCACTCTGTTACCACTGCCCTGGACACTCACGACTCCGGAGTTCAAACCCAGAGAGGTGTCCCAGACAGACCTACAGCCTGGTGTCCTAGGGGCCAGGCACAGGGGGCACAGGTAGGGTGGGGTGCCGCAGAGGCCAAGCAATGTCTCAGCTCATCGTGTGATTCATCAAGAGGAGCAGGCAGGAGATTGGAGGCTGGGAGGGGTGACAAAGCAAAACAAGGTGGAAAATGCTGGAAGCAGTGAAGAGTGTCCTGTGGCCACAGGAAGGAAAGCAGACTTGCCTGCACCCTCCAGAGAGAAACGGTGGGACAACTGGGAGTTCCAGGAGCCAGGGAAAGGGTGGACCTCAGTTCCTCCGTGGGCATTCCTCTTCTCACCAGGCTTTCTTTGGTACCATTGAACAGAGTAGATGACCTCACCTCATCTTCTAACCTCCGGCTGGCCCAGCAGAGGGCGACCGAGAGCCTCCAGGCGGCATGGGTCTGGCCCCTGAGTAGCTGAGCAGAAGACCCTGCAGGGGCAGGCGGCAGCCTCAGTACCCCCAGGTGTGAGAGGGCAGCCCTAGGGTCCCAGCACTCAGAGACCTTGCTCAACCAACATGACTCCTGTCCCCTGGGACTGCTGTCCAGCCCAAATGGCCTGCCGGGCTGACACGGTCCCGCTTAGGCCCTGTGGTGGTAATGCCACCAATCCTAACTGACCACTTCTGCTCTGCACTCAGTTGTGGGACCTCAGGGGAGCCATGCAGCTCTCTGTGCCCCGTCCTTTGTAAAGGGGATGTCCCTGAGAGCACTCGGCATCCTGGACATCCTGGACTCAGTCCTAGCCACTCAGTGCAGGACCTCATGGTCATCCAGACCCCAGGAAAGCAGATCATCGAGAGACAGGCACAGAGCTTGCCCCAGGGAGCTAGCAGTCCCTGAGGACTGGGCATCATTTCCTCGCTTTACAGATGAGGCGACTGAGGCCCACAGAGGCAAAGGCCCTCCCTGGCTCAGGGTCACCCAGCTAATAAATACAGAGTGAAGATCAAACCACAGCCCTCCAGCCCCAGGCCCCTCAGAGCACCGTTTCCCCCCACCCCCAACTGTTACGGCCCAACTGGCACCCAAGTTCCTACTGCCTGGACTTTGCCAGAGCAAAAGCGAGGTTTCCTCCTCCGAAACGCTCATTCCCGGCTTGGCTAGTCACCAGCTGCGTGATGTCTGGCTTCTTCACCTCTCCGATTGTCAATTTCCTCATCTGTGAAGTGAGGGGACGTTTCAGTATGTACCTTACCTGGCGTGCATTGCATGAAAGCATGTATCATAAACTGTAAAGTACTTCATTCGTGCATTCATGCAGTATTCATTAAGCCCCTCATTGGTGCCAGCTCTGTGCCAGCTTGGAGGGGCATTGATCTGGAGGCTGTACCTCCAAGGCACTATGTTAAGTGCTCTGAGGGACTTGTGCCTGAGCACAGCCAGGAAAGGGCTTGCAAGTCTGCCTGAGGCAGCAGGTGGGCACCCAGAGGACAGGAGTTGGCATGGAGACCCTGAGAAGAACGGGAGCATCCCATGCAGAGAGCTCAGCTGTGCACGGCCCAGCATCACCCTGGGTTTTCCTGGGGCTTGCAAGCAGCACCTCCCGCCCCGCCCAGGCTGCAGGCTGCCTGAGAACCTGGAGTGGAACAGACCCAGGAGGCCCACCCCCGCCTTCGTCAGGATACACACACGCGAGGCTGCTCCCACAAGGAGACTTGGCCATCTTCCCACTGCAGGGAAAGCAGCCCATGATGCTCCTGGTTGCTAAGGCAACTAGACCCTTGTTTTTCCTTCTTCATAAATAAGCTATAAATAGACAGGGCAAACATGGGCGCCTTCCTCTGCATGAATCATAGCAGCTGCTCCGGGCTCCAGGGCCCCTGGCACAGCACCCAGGTGCTGAGCCTCGCGGCTCGGGCCACGGAAACACAGCTCCGCAGGGCCCAGCGGGGCCATGGCAGCTCTCACTGTGTGGGTTCCCTCCTCCTGCTCCAGACTGTCCTGGGGCACAGAGCAGATTCTGGGCCCCACCTCGGACTCTAGATCCCAATTGCTGCTAGGCTGAACTCTGAGTTGCCAGCTCCCAGCCGATGGTGAACAGGACTAGGCACCCCCTGGTTCCTATCCAGGCCTGTGCACATGACAATAAAGCCACAGGAAGATGCCCCGCTTCCGCAGCATGTTCGGATGGCAAAGCCTCTGTCTACCTGGCTTACCACCGTGGTTACGTGGATTTAAGGAAGCCTTCCGGTGTGCCCGGTGCTGTTTCATGCCTCCCTTGCCACGTCCCTCCCCTCTCCCCCCAGCCACTTCCAGCCTACAGGCAGGGGCCTCTCTGCTTAGAGAGGAGGCGTCTGGCCCGAGGTCACTCAGCTAGGTAGCAGGGGAACTGGACTTTTTGCACAGAACTCCTGTCCTTAACCCCAGCATTTCCTCTCGGCACGTCCAGTTCTCTTAACAACCATGAGAGGGAAGAGCAGGCGAGATCCCCCAAGTGGGGAAGGAACAGAAGAAACAGGCCTGTGGCCGCCCAGTGAGGATGAACCAAACCTGAGACTTGAGTCCCTGCAGGGCAAGCTGTAAAGAGTCAGATTGTTTTCCCAATAAAGGGAAAGACTCAGGGAGACATGGCTACCTGGCAGGGCAGGGCAGGGCAGGCTTCCTGGAAGAGGCAAAACTGAAGTAGCATCTCAGAGAATGAGAGTGAAGAGAAGGGGGACGGCATTCCAGGCAGAGGGAATAGCTCATATAAAGGCTTGGAGGGAGGATAGGGCATGTCAGTTTCTGCAGAGTAGCAAGGAAGTCTGTGTGGCTGAGGGCTGGGTGAGCAAGAGAGGGAGTCCCGGTGGGCCCCCATCGTGAGGAGCCTCAGAGGCCAACTCAGAAGCCTAGACCTGTCCCAAGGACCCTGGGGAGACATGGGAGTCTTTCGGGCTTTTCTCTCTCTCTCTCTCTCTCTCTCTCTCTCTTTCTTTTTCTTTTTTTTTTTTTTTTGTTTTGCTTTTGTTTTTGTTTTTGAAAGATTTTTGGTATAGGGCGTGTGCTCACTGGAGAGACAGAGAGAGAGAGATAGAAAGACAGAAAGCGAGAAATTACATCACCCCCAGGGGCACGGCCACACCACAATCCCTTCTCCTCTACTGTTTTCTCAGGATCTTGCGCACACACACACACACACACACACACACACACACGCCC